CATTGGACCTTTGATAACCACCGCTATATTTGAAAATTATTATTTAAAAACATTAACATTTTACAAATAGTTACAATATTTACTATAAAAATCTTACCTTGTTAACATAACAATAGGTATACCATAATTTTTTGCAAAATTAAACACTACTCGATCCCTTTCAAAAAGTCCTTGCTCAGTTATATTAAGACCACCCAATGGGTCACCATTTAATATATCTGACCCCGCATTATATATAATTAAGCTTGGAGAAAATTCTTTTAATGCTTTACCAATTGATCTAGTTAATATAAAATAATTAATTTAGATGAACACATTTTGATTAACCCTACTCATTTATTTGTTTGAGATATTCATCATCACTCGTATTTGGCAATAATTCCACCTTGGTATTAATAAAGTTTTGAGCCATTTCGTCCATGGGATAAATATCCTTATTATAAGCATCTAAGACATACACCTTTTTCTTTTGACGTAATGACATTATAAATTTATCTAGCTCATAACCATTCCCTTCATAAATAAATAATATACAAATATGTAGTATATCAATTTGTAAATAAAATTATGTATTCTAATTTTTAAGCTTAAAATTAAGTTACCTTGGTGAGCGTCTAAGTCTATTATCATAAAATTAAGATCCTCATCCACATACTTCCACAAATATTGAATGGCCATGGTGATATCGGCAAAAAAACAAAATCCCTGTGCCCGTGCACTGGAGGCGTGATGGAAACCCCCGCCCAGGTTTATAGCCCACCCGTACTTCAACGCCATATGCGCTGCCAATACAGTGCCCGATGTGTGCCATTTAAATGGTGTCACCAGAGCTGACTGTAGAAATGAGCTTGGCACAAAGCGTAGCATGTACATTTCGGCAGCTTGAGCTATCATGCTTGATTTGTAATGAATGTCGCTGATAAATTGTTCAGTATGAGCTAGTTGTAATTCTGCCCTAGTTACTTCATGTACTGGTGATATTGTGGTAAATTGGGCACCTTGGCTCTGTGCATAAAATTTTGCCATAAATTTTTAGATTGCTTAGGTAATTTAAATGAATAAAAAATATTTTATTTAATATTATCAAAAAAGTGTTTTTTAATACAATATGATTTTAAACTTTCAATAAACTATTTTTGAATTTAATGAATATCATAAATGTATCATAAGATTAAGTATACAGTTGTTACCACAAATTAGATATAATAATTATATCTATTTATATAATATTTATTTAATAATTACATATAATATAAATTTATTTTTATTTAGTATTTAAATTATATATAATTGTTTATAACATAGATTGACAAAACTTTTGATCTAGAGCAGTTACTAATGTTATAAGTATTACTAACTATGAATGTTAATTTATTGTTTATATATTATAACTGTTTTAGTATATTAATTTATATAAATATGAGCCAGTCAAAGCCAGACTATGATAAGTCTAAATACAAATACATTAATATGAATTACAATGAACTTTAGGTAACACATTGGTCAATATGATAAATACATGGTGTATAATATAAGTTAATGTATTTGTATTTGGACTTATCATAGTCTGGCTTTGACTGGCTCATATGTTTACAATTACTTGTAAAATGATATTATACACTGTATACTAAAATTATATTAAATAAAAATAATCTTATTTGTAATACAAAAATTATATAAAATTATACTTCCAATTACTGATTACTTACTGTAAAATGTTGATTTAATATCTGATAAATATGTCCCCACTTTTGTGTATCAAAATTATGTAATTTTTCAAAACGATAGAATTTTATGTCATAGTTGCTATTATAGACTATTGGGTAAACAAGCTCATTTTCAATTCCGGTATCTGGTCTACTCGCTATTTTGACATAATTGAATAAGTCGCCAGGTTTTATATCATCGTCGTTATTGCCGATATATTTGTCGCTTGAATATGAAATTTAAAATATTTGACTGGGTCATTTTTGTAGTTGGCATTTGGTTTATGAATTGTACTCACATTTGTTGGCTACGTGTTTTATAAAACGCAAAACTGGCCATGGCGCACCCTACAGCAGCCATATAAACGTACTTGTTACATTTAAGCATGTTTGTGTAGTCAGTAATTTTATTGATATACGACATATACATTTAAAATACTAATTTTTAAATTATTAATTATTGACCATAGACGTCAATGTTTATTACCAAAAATATAACGTATCTAATCAATGAACACGTATATGAAACTTTCAACATTAACATACACTTTCAAAATCACGTATACCATTGTTTTTACATAACTATAATAGTGTGTAATATTTTAAACCACTATAAGCTAACCCAATAACAAAATACAATACGTAATATAAACCTATAAAATATTATATTACGATGTTAGTTGTTTTACAATAATAGTGGTTATTTTCCATTGAAATGCAAAATATTATCTAATCAAATGTATTACAAAACTTTTATTTATTTTATGTCAATAATTGCAAAAAGGATTGGTAAAACTTGTTGACAATTTATATGTACAATAAAAGTTAACAATTTAATATTAATTAACTAATTAATTTACAGTGAATATTGTTATTTAACAGAATTAATTTTTTGTTTAATACAACTATATGGTTTATTAATTATACTAATATGTCGCCCAAATAAAGCTGTCTATACTTTACATAATTAAACACATAAATCAAGTGTTATCTAGCAAACTGTAACACGAATCATAATCAAACAATTCCTAATATGAGTATACTAAAAACACAAAGGTTGTCTAGACAATATACAATAAATTTTGTATACAATAATTATGTATATAATAAATTTCACTAGATCTTAGTAGGGAACATCGAGTCACGAATCTCGATTGAGTGGTTCTAATTGTTATG